AGAGAGAGAGAGAGAGAGTGAGTGAGTGAGTGAGTGAGTGAGTGAGTGAACGAGTGAGTGAGTGAGTGAGTGAGCGAGTGAGTGAGTGAATGAGTGGATGGGGGAATGGATGAAAGAATGAGCGAGTCAGTGGGTAATTGAGTGAGTGAGTGAGTGGATGGGGGAATGGATGAAAGAATGAGCGAGTCAGTGGGTAATTGAGTGAGTGAGTGAGAGAGTGCGTGAACCATAAACGAGCGAGTGAGTGAGTGAACGAGTGAGTGAGTGACCGAGTGTGTGAGTGAACGGGTGACCAAATGAATGGATGAATGAATGAGCAATTAACTTGCTCATTAAGCGGTTGGCTGGGTGTGAGGAAAGTGCACAGGTGACTGACTGGGTGTGAGCAGCGCATTGTTGAGCGAGTTATTGATAGAGCTGGGCGAAGAATCGATTCCGGAACCGATTCCCATGATTAATGCTGCGTATGGAAGAAAAAGAGGGTCCGGTGGCGGATCGGTTAGTGCACTCGTCTCCCAAGCGGAAAGTCAGGGTTCGAGCCTAGGTTCAGACACGGATTTTTCTCGCCTTCTTCTGCCTACTCACCCAGCAGTAATGAGTACCTGACTTCGAGTTGGGGAAGTAAAGGCGGCGTGGAAAGGAACTGGTCACCCTACCACAATATGCTGAAGGCCCAGGAAGTTGTCTCACTAACAAGGCAATCCCCAATGTCCGGATCGGATGCGTGAAGAACTTTACTTTTTTACGAAAGAAAAGTTCCGACTCCTTTTTACGAAAACCAATGGTTACCAGTTACTTTTAATCATTTACATCCTCTTCTTTTTTTTTTTAAAGAATGTATTTTAGAAAAATAAACATTGATGCTTCGTAGCGTTCCCAAATCAAGGTTATCCTAAACCCTGAAGATGTTTGAATCCAACCAGGTAACCACTGGAAGAAATCACATCATTAGAAAGCAAGTAATTTGGGTTCAGAGTCGATTCCTACGATTCTTAGCTTTCAATAATCGGAAACCTAGCCGGCCAGCACGAGTTATTGGCACGTCCTGTTTCTGACATGTGGCATGACTGAACTGACAACAACAAAGACAAAAAGGATCGATAGAAAGGAAGAGATAGAGAGAGAGAACAATAGGAAGAACGTGAGAAAGAGGGGGAGAGAGTGGGGTGGGAGAGGGAGAGAGAGA